TGGAGAATTGGAGGCAAAAATGTTGGTACTGCGTTGTGGGGAGGTAGGTTTTCTATAAACTTTTGTTGTAAAACCGGTTCTATTTCTGGTAAATAAAATGTCAAGGAATGGTAGTCTTCTTTTATTTTCTTTTTCTATTGTAAATTGAATAGATGATTTAAAGCTATTGAGGGTTTCTAGGATGTGATTTTCACTGTTTTCTGTGATTATGCAAAAGATATCATCAACGTACCTTGACCAGATCAATATTTCGTTGGGTTTTGCTTCAGTGATCCATGAGTCAATGGTGGAGAGAACTATTTCTGCTAGAATTGTAGAGAGTGGGCTTCCCATCGGTGTGCCTTTTATTTGGTTGTAGTATTCTCCTGTGAATTTAACTGTTGTGCTCTTTAAACAGATTTCGGTAAGTTTCAGGATTGCAAGGTGGTCCGGGTATGCTTCTTTATGTTTGATTAGGATGGTTGTAGGGAGTCCATTATTAAGTCGTGGGGAAGGCTTGTGTATAGGTCCTTAAAAAAAAAATCTTCAAAAGCCATATAAAATAATAGCCATTCCATTTTTCTCTCCACTAAATCCTTTGAAACTGTTTATAGTTGATTCTTTATATTTATTCAATTATGTAAATTTCTTTAAGATATTTTGTACTATATTTACATAGATTCCTCTTTTAAAAACGATATATAATCTCTCTCTCGTTTGTCTTGTTTGTACACTATAGTTAGTTGAAGAAGGGCTTGGCCAAAAGCTTCCTTTAATCGCGTTAATAAAAAGAGATGCGGCGATATATGATTCCCTCTTTCTAAATTGTCGAAATCCGCAAACCGTTTACCATGAATACCAACGCTAACGGCGCTTTCAATTATTTATTTTATTTCGTACAGCTAGAGAGAGCATCCCTCAGTCTTGCCAGATGGCGCTCCCACCTCAAGTTCAACCAGAGATGCAAAACTGCCAAGTTCATTCCCCCAGTTCTACGCCTTAAAGACCCAATCAAAAACAGTTTCTCAAAAACGGTTTTAGAGCATACAAGTAAAAAGCTTCTCGAAGCTAGAATCAAAGGTTGCTTTTCAAAAATATCCTTTCTATCAGCAAAAGTTAAATTCCATATTGGAATCATTACCTTGTACACCCCTTCTGACATAACAACTAAACTTATACAAGAAATAACTTCGAAAATAGACCTTCAGAATACATCTACCGCCCTTAAACACGAAAAGAAAATAGATCACTGGAAAAAGAAATACCATTTCCCCGGAGACAATCACTGCATTGTCAACCTATCTGAATATGAACTCAGCCCATCAAAGATTTCCTTGTTAAACAAAGGTCTATCATACCGTCCGATCAAAAATATGCTTTTACCCCAAATCATTAGCTCCATAGAATCCGGCATACATAACATATCGAATAATAATATACACATGATCAGAAACTTTGTGGCTTCCACACTAGCCCCACACCCAGTAATCGCATATCCCAGCACAATAAAAAATCCCATCGTTGCATCAATAAAGAAATCCTTATCTTAAATAACCTATACAAAAATAAAAACATCACAATCTCTCGAGCAGACAAAGGCGGATCTGTTGTAATCTTAAATACTGAAGACCACATCAATAGAATGAAAACGCACCTGAATAATACCGAATTCTTCATTAAAATAGAGCCACAGGAAGCATCAAAATCAATAACTGCTTTCAAAAAAATCTATACATCAACTCCTTAAAAAACAAATTATCGATCAGTCCTTAAAGAAACAAATTCTGGAAAACTCTGGAACCCACCCATATATTTACGGCCTTCCTAAAATCCATAAGAAAAACACCCCCCTCAGACCAATAGTCGCCTATAACCAATCACCAGCATATTTTCTCTCCAAACATCTAGCCAATAGACTTTCTGAAATAACCAAAAATCGACCTTATATTGTTAAAAAAATCCTGAAGAAATTCTACAAAAAATGAAGAATTTCAAATTGAAAGCCGATCACCGAATCGTTTCATATGATGTCAAGGACCTATACACAAGCCTTCCCCACGACTTAATAATGGACTCCCTACAAACCATCCTAATCAAACATAAAGAAGCATAACCGGACCACCTTGCAATCCTGAAACTTGCCGAAATCTGTTTAAAGAGCACAACAGTTAAATTCACAAGAGAATACTACAACCAAATAAAAGGCACACCGATGGGAAGCACACTCTCTACAATTCTAGAAGAAATAGTTCCCTCCACCATTGACTCATGGATCACTGAAGCAAAACCCAACGAAATATTAATCTGGTCAAGGTACGTTGATGATATCTTTTGCATAATCGCAGAAAACAGTGAAAATCACATCCTAGAAACCCTCAATAGCTATAACTCATCTATTCAATTTACAATAGAAAAAGAAAATAAAAGAAGTCTACCATTCCTTGACATTTTATTTACCAGAAATAGAACCGGTTTTACAACAAAATTTTATAGAAAACCTACCTCCCCAACGCAGTACCTACATTTTGCCTCCAATTCTCCCATCTCCTACAAAATAACAGTTGTACGTACCTTGACGAAAAGAGCCTTCACCCACTGTTCATCAAAAATAGAATACAATAAAAAAACTTAATTTTATCGAAAACCAGCTTCTTAAATCTGGATATCCGCTTCCTTTCATTAAAAGAAATAGATATAAACCAGGGACCCCCAGAAATAACTCCACTCATTACATCTCCACCTGTTACTTACCATATATAGAATCTACAATTACAATAGCCCGCAAACTTAAAAGTTTTGGCATAAAAAACCATCTTTAGAGGTTCACCTTCCATAGCCTCGATTCTAAGAAACCCAATCACCAAAAGCACCGACCAGAAACCGAAAAAAGATTTAGTTTACCAAATTCTCTGCCTCAACTGCAATGGTGTCTACATCGGCGAAACATCAAGAGATCTTTCAATCAGAATCAAAGAACACCAAAGAAACATTTCTAAACTTAACCCAAACTCTTTAATAGCCGACCACGTCAGAGAAACCGGACATACTCCAGACTTCAATAATACCAGAATCCTCCATAAAAATGCCAAAACTAAAACCCAAAGACTCATTCTTGAAGCAATAGAAACCATGAAGCACCCTAAACCATTAAACAAAAGTATAAAGTTGCCATCTCAGTACGTTCCCCTTCTATCTTAAAAAAAAATCTTCAAAAGCCATATAAAACAATAGCCATTCCATTTTTCTCTCGACTAAATCCTTTGAACTGTTTATAGTTGATTCTTTATATTTATTCAATTATGTAAATTTCTTTAAGATATTTTGTACTATATTTACATAGATTCCTCTTTTAAAAACGATATATAATCTCTCTCTCGTTTGTCTTGTTTGTACACTATAGTTAGATGAAGAAGGGCTTGCCCGAAAGCTTCCTTTAATCGCGTTAATAAAAAGAGTTGCGGCGATATATGATCCCCTCTTTCTAAATATTAGATAATGTTGATTTTAAAAATGCGATTTTCTTTTGATTCCGAACTCAGATACGCTTTGAATAGCTCTCGTTTTCTAAACAGGTCAAAAGAGAAATAGATGAGAGAAAGTTTTTTACAAAGAATGAACTTTGCGAAAATATTCATAATTATTTCTGATATTTAAAAACTTTTTTTCCATATACTCTTGTCGCGGTAATGAGGGAGAAGTTATTGATAAGTAGAATAAATAAATAATTTATTAATTAGGCTCAAATAGATAAATAAACTAGTGGAGATTAAAATATATAAATCCAGAAGGAATTTGTGAAGTATCACGAAAAACTTGGCCTGAATGTAAAGTCATTTCATAAACTAAATTATTAAAAAATGGAAGTGCGCCCTCATTAACTATTTTTTTTGGACGTTTTGTACTCAAAATTAAATCGTTCATTATACACCTCAATTAGTTATATAGCATCAGTAAATTTGTCGTATTTTATTTTTCAATACTCTGTGTGACAGCTAGATTTTGAATAGGAACTAACCGGTAGGAGGTTGCAGGTTTATTAACCTAAAAAGGTTTTGTTTGGCATTCCGTTTTTTTATTTCTTGTCTTGCTAAATGCAATAAAATAATTCTTTTGCTTCTTTAAAGAGAGTTGTAATTATTTAAAATACTACAAAATTCCATAACAATTTTATTTCCATCCGTTCTTAGTGTAATATTACCAGTGTAGAGAGTTATAAACAGGAAGAGACTTTTTTTACTTATCCCTAGTACACGTGGTACAGGCAGGCCATGATAATCATGGTGGGTAGAAGTAGGCGACTGC